TGCTCCTGCGTCAGTGTCGCGAGAGTAAATTCGGCCATGGCGGGGGTGTCGGGCAAGCTCAGCGAGAGCCTCGGTCGTGGCCGTGCGTGCTTTCGAGAGAGCACTTCGAGCGGCGGTGCTTGTTCGCTGAGAGACGTCTACCCCCCCCAAAAATTTGAGATAGTGGGGAAGCGAAGGTGTGGGTGCGATCCGAGAAGAGATCGTAGGCTCTGAATACCAAGTGTTACGAGTGCAATTGAGAGAACGAGCGAGAATTGCACTATCGAAGCAAGAGTACAGTTGAGCGAAGGCATGAGCGAAGAATATATAGCGAAACTACAGTGGTAACGGCTATGTGTGGAAAATGGGGTGCGCGACGGGCCTAGCGCCAAGGTTGGGAGATGTCGAGGCGGAGGTCAGGAGCGCGGGTTACCAACCGAACCGTGAGGTTGGGTCGCGTCGTGAACGGTGGCGGGAATGGTGTCGAAGCGAGTGTCGCGAGTGGTAACGGATTACTGTTGGGTGCTGTGGGCGGGAACAGTGGTGTACGCACTGAGCAGGGACGCGAAGTAAGGAAAAGGAATTTTGCTTACAACATTATAAAATGAAATAACTAGATAGAAAACTAAGGAAAAATATAAATGGAAAGTACTGAAAGGGAGGGAGGGTTGGGTTGTAGATGCAGATCTACAAATGAATTAGACTAGGTGGCAGGTCCGTTGACCTGCCACAAGATAAGGAAGGAGTGACTCCTTACTGCATAATCCTTTGCAAGTCTTGTCATAATCTTTAAAATTGGAAATTTATTTCATGTTTTTTTTCATATTTGCTTCCTTTACAGACTCTCAGACGGGTTATTTCTCACAATGCAAGTGCAGGTGCTTTGAAGCCATAGGATAATAAAATATGGCATCTTCTGCCAACTGGCTTTGAGCCAAGAGGCACAAGGTGCCAAAAGATTTAATTAACTTGTTCGTCATCTTAGTCGGACCAACTGGTGATACGGCGCCACAATGCTCCAGCCGCTTGGGATCACCATCTTGCCTCCGGAGGTGCTCTGGTGCTAGGCTTACGTGTGGGTACATCAGTCCTGAGGTTCCAGCCAGACCATGTGCTATGCTGAGATGTGCAGCGCACACTGTTCGAGAGTGGGCCGTATGGTGCATTAGAGGAATCAGTCAAGCATTACAGCTGTTCTCAGTGTTTCGGTAACTTTCAAAGTTCCCTTGGGTTTCCAATCAACGGCTGTTGCCATGACACTTCTCTGCCCACACCACCCTCACCCCCATCCACTGCCTCATCTTGGAACACAACCCGTCTCCCTGAAGCTCGTCTTGACGATGGAGATCGGCTGCTGCTCACTATCCCACTTGACCGGCCAGAACCGCTTCTCAAACCCTCATCCACCACTGCTCTTTCCCCCACACCCATCCCACCTGCCTCCACCGCTCCCAACCCCTCACCCTCCTCGTCCACTTGCGGCACTTTCCGACACGGCTGCACCAGCGGTTGCTGCCCTGGCAGGGGTGATAACGAGCGGGGAACGAGAGGGCCCTGGGCGCGCAAGGCGGGTAAGGCGCGGTCGAGCAGCGCCATCATGGCGCGCATGTCGCTCTGCATGTCCGCCATCATGCCCCTCAGCTCCTCCACTGACTCATGGCCGCGCACCACCTCCTCCTGCTCGCACACACCCTCACACAGCATGCGGGAGAGCAGAGAAGAGCAGGGAGGCATGGGGCATGGATGGTCAGCCACTGTGTCATAATGACAGGCCAGCGACAAGCAATGCCTCGTAGCACTAGCATCCCCCCTCCCTCACCTGTATCCACGCACATCCCTCCTAACTTGTATCCATGCACATCCCCACATGCATCCCCTCTCCCCTGCATCCACCCACAGACAACCCACATACCTGCACATGAGCCAGGCTGAGCTTTTGAACGGGCTTCTTGACGGGCAGGGCGGCCTGCTTCACCACCTCGCCGCACTGCAGCACCACCGCCTGTGACAGCTGCTCCAGCTGCTCCTCATCCGCTGTCCAGGGGGCAGCCCCCCACATGGCTCCATTCTCACACCGAGACGGGGAGAAACAAGCCTCCTTGGCTGACATGGCAGCGGCTGATTGGCGGACCTTCTTTGCCTGGGGAGGAACGAGGGGAGGGGGAGGGGTGACGGGGGGAGAAGGTGGAGGGGGGGAATGGCGGACGGAGTGGATGGAGGATTGGAAGGCTGATAGTAGTTGAGAGTAACACAAAGAAGAGATGCATAGCGATGCAGGGACAAAAATCGGCAAAAACAGGAAGAGTAAGCACTCGTCATGGCGCTACCCACATCAGTCGTCAGAAGCATGACAAGAGGGCATTCACAACAAGCATGGAAAAGCATGGCAACGAGCATGGGAACGAGCATGGCAGCAAGGGACGCACCGCCTTGTCCTGGCGCCGCTGCAGGATCATGGCGAGCGAGATGGCGTCGATGCGCTTCTCCCTCACTGTCAGCACGTGCTGCCGCCGCACCCGCGAGTCGCTCACGGCGGAGGGGAAGGCGGGTTGGTTCTCTGACCGGGCGAAGTGCGCCGGCTTCTGGGCGCTGCCTCGCGCGCCGGAGAGCATTGAGCTTACCCGCCTTTGGATGGACTTGAAGCGGCGCATCCGAGGGTTCTCCTGAAACGAAAGGCGTGCGGGGAATGGCGTGAGTGAGAGATGGCGGTCGGTGGCAACGGTGGCGGATGCCGCATGACCAAGGCGTCTCAACAACCATTAGGAAAACAACCAAGGAATCAAAGACCTTCACTTCACTCACCTCACAAAGCACATACAGAACCCTGCACCAAAAACCGTACCGACACACTCACCTCTTTAATGCGAGTGTCCTTGGCCCCCAAGTCCACAAGGCGGTCGAGAATGACCCGGTACGGCAAGTAGCGGCCGCGCCAGCAGTTCCACTTGTACTTGAAAATGTGAGCGAGGTCAGCGGCTATGGAGGTGGCGACAACATCACTGTCTTGAACGCTCATGAACGCATCGACGATGATGGCGATGAGGAAGTTGAGGAGGATGAAGACCATGAAGACGATGAACATGAAGAAGAAGAGCATCGCAGCTATGAGGTCCCACGACTCCAGGCGCTGGAGGAAGTAGGCCGAGCCGTTGTCGTTGATGAGCAGCAGGAAGAGGGAGAACATGGAGTTGAGTACTGTGGAGAACTGCACAGGGTGGGGCGGGGAGCAAAGGGGTTGTTTTTGGGACAATGGAGGACATAGAAAAATAAAATGGTTGAAACAAAAATGGCAGTGTAGACTGCATAAGTACATGAGCCATGTGGTATGTGCTTGCCTTTGTTCTGCTTTGTTTGGTCTTGTTTTGATTGTGGCTTTAATCCTCTCACAGTGCCTACTTGGTGTTCACTTGGACATAATTTAGACTGCATAAGGACATGAGACATGAGCCCCACACATACCAAAGCCACACACGTACCAGCTCCATTGCGCCTCCAAAGACGAGGTAGCCATACATGCTGAAGCAGAAGAAGACCGTAAAGGAGAGCAGGAAGAAGTGCAGCAGCGAGGGCGTGGCGAGGGCGAGAGAGCGCGTGATGACCCCGAGGTAAGGCTGGAAGTCCATGACCTTGAGCAGGCGAATCATCACGAAAAAGAGACTGGAGGGGAACAGGGAGCAAGAAAGAGAATGACGGCGGCCAGAAGTCAGAGTGCGGTCAGAGGCTGGAAGTCCATGACCTTGAGCAGACGAATCATCATGAAGAAGACACTGGGGGAACTGGGGGATCACAATATAGGATGTGAGCAAACTGAACGAAACCTGTGTGACACGAATAGTCGAACCTCCGACCGGCCTGTGCTCAGGCGTGGGCCCAACCAGTTCAGGTTCGACTTTTTGCTCAATCTGGGAAGCCGTAGAGACTGTGACAATGGCTCACTTATTGTTCTGAAAAGCAAGGCAGCGCACTTGAAACCCTGCAGGGCAAGGCGGCTCACTTGATGCCCTAGAAACCAAGGCAGCGCACTTAAATGAAACCCTGCAGGGCAAGGCTGCTCACTTGTTGGCCTGGAAAACAAGACGGCTCACTTGATGCCCTTGCGGGTAAAGGCGGCTCACTTAATGCCCTGGAGGGCGAAGTAGACGGCGCGGAGGTTGATGATGTTTTTCAATTCAGCAAAGGCCTGAGTGGCGCCGATGAAGCCTGTGGGTGGGTTGGGCACGGCCCAGTAGCGCGGCATCTCGAGCAGCGTGTAGTAGACGTCGTACCGTGGCTGCATGTCAAATGCTTCCACGTACCGCCACAGCACCACCCTGACCACACGGACACACACACGCACGTGTGGAGGATAGTGAGAGAATGTGAGAATGTTGGGCATATGGGCAGTGAAGGCAGAGCAATGAGAGTTGTGCAAGATGTGATGATTCGCACCGGATGCAAGCACTGACGCAGCTTGGCTGGCTTCTTACCAGATAACAACCGCAGCCACTTGCAGCGAGAGAGAGAGCATGTCGATCCAGTTCCATGCTTGCTCAAAATAGCTGAGCACAGAGCCATCCTTCGCAGCACAGTCTGCCATCTCCTGCAGCTCGCCACACACATTCCAGAGCAGCCCCACCAAGTAAACTATCTCCAGCACCAGTCGTGCGATGTTGTCCACCGATGTGTCGTACATCGCCATGGCTGCCGGCTGAGACTTGAAGCTCACGTCCATGCTGCCCCCCCCGTTCACCGTGCACCTCACAGTTGTCAGCACGAACGTGAGTGTCTCGCCTGCCAACCGGGGGGGCGTCAAGGGGCGAGTGAGAGGCGTGCATTGAGAGGCGTGCATTGAGAGAGAGGCGGTGTACACTGAACGTTGAAAGAAACGAATGGATGTGTTGAGTAGATACATGTGCTTGAGGGTCGGTGTTACCACAAGGTAATCAAATACCGTTGAAGGTTATAAAGCTGATGTCAATGCTGCGCGTGCCATTGTCTATGTAGCTGCCATCCACCAAGTAGTGTAGACGCCTTGTGGCCGCCTCGTTATCGAGATTAATCCCAAACACCAAAGGGTATGTCGTGAGAGACTCCTGATGAAGACCAAGGTGCATGTGAACACTATTTTCGCAAAGACATCATTGGCTTCATTTTCAACACACCACATCAGCAAGAAACAAGACAGAAAGACAGCGCGAAAGCAAGGCAGCACGACAGCAAGGCAGCACAGCAGCAAAACATGGAGGAGCACAAGGCACTAGGGCAGCAAGGCACTAGGGCAGCAAGGCACTAGGGCAGCAAGGCACTAGGGCAGCAAGGCACTAGGGCAGCAAGGCAGCAGGCCAGCACATGGAAGTGATGAGTCGTTTGCATCGCTTGTTTTGAGACGTCTCAACACTTGCCTTGCGTGCGACCTGGGCTGGGATGGGGTCCACCTCAGCACTTCACCGCACCTCTCTGCACTGGCAGTGCCGGGCACTATACCTAAACCTCAAGGGACTGACCATGGGGTAGATGAAGCCGTACGGGAGGCCTTGAGGGTTGAACTGCAGTTTAAAGCCGAAGGTGTTGTTGTCGAGCTGGGTCATGTTGGCGCTGGCAGCGCTGTCGTAGATGGCCGACGTGGGCAGGAAGTGCGGGTTCACTCCAAACGGCTCCCTGGATGTGCCGTTGCTGCACCACCCCGCCAGGTGCAGCAGGCTGGGGAGGGAGGGGCGGGAGGATAGAGGGCAGGGAGGAGTGAGGGGGGTTGGGGGAGAGAAGAGCGGGTGCAGCTGTGACCAAGGGAGGGAGTGAAGTGAAGGCGTTGAAAGAATGGCAATCGGTGGCAATGTCACATTTGAGTCGACTGAAAACATGTCACAGCGACGGGATCTGGCAAAGATCGTGAAACCCTCGCACGTCACAGTAGGCATGAGCAACAGCCAAAGCATGATGGCACGGCTCGTTGGGCCGGCCCCATGGAGCCGCGCCCCCCCGCTCCTGGAAGCTGGTCCGAGTGGCACCTGGCCCAACGAGTGGCACCTGGTCCAACGAGTGGCACCTGGCTCGGCTCCCACCCTTGCTCATGCCTGCATGCCCCTTTACGAGAGCCACTCACCCCGGCCCGCTGCACTGCTGTGTGCCCCACCGCTCCTGCTGTAGCATCATGCCGATCAGCAGACTGGCACGGAGAAGAAGGGGGGGGGGAGGGAGGAGGAGGGGGATAAGGCAGAGGAGAGTGAGAAGCCGATTGTGGAAGTGAGCGAAGGTTCTGATGGGCAAACGGAGGTTCATAGAACAAGAGGGTACTGTGTGGTGTAGCATGCCGGCCTTTCGGTTGCAATGCAAGGGAGGAGGAGAGGTGTACACGAATGGATATATGCTGTGCTGCTGCGAGGGCGGTATGAAATCATAGCAAGGTCGTGGAAAGGCATGGCGCTGCACAAGTGTGTCGCTCAACAGGGCGGCCAATAGGGCGGCCAACAGGGCGGCCAACTGATGGAAAGAGTGCGAATCTAGAGAGCGTAGTAAAATATTAAGTCCGCCGCCGACTTCGACAGAATATTGCGTGCAGCTCACAGAACCTTAAAATATGAGCAGGTACGCGTTAGAATAATCTTAATCTATAATTTCTAGAATGGTAACGCACGTCTTCAACCAAGATCTAGGCCGATCGCTATCGCGATGCGGGGTATCTTGGCGGAATCACTTGGAAGCCATGGATTAAATCTAGAAATTGCTATAACAAGAGTTCAGATCTAAAAAAGTGACGAAATTGACAAACCATACCATCCCAACTCTCGCCTTCAACCCAAAGTGCCAAACTAGCAACACAATCATCACCAACAGAGTGGGCAGGGAGGGGGGGGTGGCATACCGGTTGCGGCGAGACACATAGCGTGTGGCAGCAAAGCCCCTCTCTGCAGCAAAGACGTAGTTGCTCTCTGTGTAGTTGGGGCCGTAGCGCTGCAGTGAGAAGGGGAAGTTGAGATTCGTTCCCACCGCCGTGGATAGACAGCACGCTGGAGAAAAGGAGGAGGAGAAAGGGAAGGAACAGAGACGAGGAAAGGGAGGAAGATGAGGAAGAGAGAGCAGGGACGGAGAGGGCAAGGAGTTCATCGAAAGCAGTGCAAGCCAGGAAGCAAGTGCAGGCCAGAAAGCAAGTGCAAGCCAGAAAGCAAGTAAGCGTGAGGTGAGAATAGGAGAGGAGAGAAAGATGGTGAAGCATCGCAGGGGGCGAGAAGGGCGGGTGGAGGGGGGAGAGGGGTGACTGACAGCCGTCGTCGCGGCGTGTGTGGCTGGGCGGGCAGGCGCAGATGCCGGGGCCAAAGAGCGGGTCGACACACGCGCAGTCGCCACCGTCAAAGGCGCATGCGGGCGTGTTGCACGCCGCATCGCACACCCCATTCGCCAGCCGCCGCAGCAGACAGCCCGGCGCACACTCGTAGGTTGCCGTGGTGTTGGTGGTGGTGGTATTAAAGACAGTGGTGGTGCTATTGACAAAACCTGCAATCGCTTGCACGCAAAAAAGTCGGGCGGCAAGAACGGGAGACGTGGGAAGATGTGGAGTGGAGCGCTGGAAAATGATAGAAAGAGGGGGACGAACGAACTGTGGAGGAGGAGAGAGGATGGGGAAAATAGAGGGAGGATAATAAACTAAGATGCAACAGGTGGGAAGGGTGGAGAGAGAATGCACACACGGTAACTGGATGCAACTGAAAGAAGGAGTCCTTGAGAGATCTGCATGGCCCATGCAGTGCTCACCAGCAGCAGCATCCACCCCCGTCCTCGCAGGCAACACTGTGAGAATGCTGGTGGTCATGGAGGTGGTGGAGGAGGAGGAGGAGGAGGAGGAAGAGAGCGCGTCTCCAGCCGTGGCAGGCAGAGCACCGTCCTGGTAGTTGATGCTGATGGGCTGCCCAAACACCCTGCTGTAGGCGAAGGTGCCCACAGGCTCGTCCTCCATCCCTGGTGGGGGAGAGGTGGGACGTGGTTGAGAGGAGTGGGGAGAGGGAAAAGGGGATTGGAGAGGTCTGTGGGTGGGACGGGTGATGGGGATTGCTTGCACTACCTGAAAGGCGTGCCTGTTGTGCATTACCTAAAAGGCTTGCCTGTTGTGCATTATCTGAAAGGCTTGCCTGCTGTGCATTACCTGAAAGGCTTGCGTAGCGCTCACAAGTCTGGGTTCCAAATCATCATAACTCACTCAGCACGCAGGGCACGGGGTCATCGCTCATGTCGCCAGCGCCCAAGTTCATGGGAGTGCACACCATCTGCCGTGACACGGCCAGGCGGTCCCCCCCGAAGCCCAGGAACAGCGGGTCGCCTGCTTCGCCCATCCCCGCCACTGGTGGTGGTGGCGGTGGCGGTGGTGGTGGTGGTGGTGGTGGTGGTGGTGGTGGTGGTGGCAGAAGGGGAGTCGCAAGGGTGGTGGGACATGAGGCAGAGCAGACCATGAATGGGAAGTGGTACCATGTGGCACAGAGAGCCGTTACAACTGCACATCACAGACACTCCTTTCCTCTGCGAAGAAATATAGGCACGGATGGACAGAGGAGGTTGTGATGCAAATTAAGGCTACAAAAAAAGGGCGTACCTCTGAGGGAGTGCGGGAGGTCGTCATCCCACACCCAGGTGACCTTGTCGCCCACATGGATGGTCGTGTTGTGCGTCACGCCTGTCCGCCACGGCAACCACGCTCCGCCTGAAGGGAGAGAAAAGGGCGAGAAGCACAGGTCGTCGTCAATCATGATAAGAGGAAGAAACACAATCCTTAGACATTCACATTCACATGCAGGCGCAAACGTACACCGGCCGGCCATGAGCACCTTGCGAGCAGCCGACAGTGTCAGATGTGACAATCGCGTCGTCGAAGGAGTGCATGAGCGAGTTGAGGCGAGCAGCAGCCTCGTCTGCCATGGGTGTGACGGACCTCAGCGCCGCCACCATGGTCTGCACGAATCGCCGCATGTGCTGCGCTGAGATCATGCGCCCGCCGCTCACATGCATGCGCTGCAGGTATGCATACATCTCACCCCCCTCCACCAACGGCTGCCCTGCTTCATCCGTGAACCGGCATTCATCCAGTGTTGTGGACGGTCCCCCCAGCATGGTGCAGAGGCACGCCACTATGCGCCACCTCACGCTGCCCGGCCCTCCCAGCGTGTGGTTGGTTGCTCCCGCCACTTGCATCACTTCTGCCCCAGGAGAACGGCCGGCGAGGCAGCGGTCCTTGGCCATAGTGAAGAGCGAACGAGACACCGCCACCTGCAGCGCTGTCAGTCGCTGGCGGTCCGTGGCGCCCAGGAGGGACCAGAGTGAGGGCTGCGTGGGGTCTGCTGCGGCTGCCGTTCCCACTGCTGCCATGGCTGCTGCTGCTACTGGTGCAGCCGATGCCGGTGTTTGTGGTGGCAGGGCTGGTACTGCTGCTCCTGGTGAGCCTTGCACTGCTGGTGCAGGCAGGGCTGCAGCAACAGCGTCAGCAGTGGAGACAGCAACAGCGTCAGCAGTGGAGACAGCAGCAGCCGGCGTGGCGAACACAGGAGGGGCCGCATCGGGCAAGGCAGAGGAGGTCCAATAGCTGTAGCGATGTGGGTGCAGGCGGCGGTGCTTTGCCTGGGCCTGAGTAGTGGGTAATAAGTAGTGGGTTTATGGGCAAGCAGAGAGAGCATGATAATGCGACTTGCAAGAAGTGCACACACGAAACAAAGGGCGAAACAGTAATGTGAAGGGAACAAGAGGAGAACGGAGCAGGAAAGCCACAAGGGGCAGCAAGCAAAGGGCGAGAACATGCAAAGGGCGGGGAGCAAGCAAAAGAGCAGGCAGCAAGTAAAGGACGGGCAGCAAGCAAAAGGGCAGGCAGCAAGTAAAGGGCGGACAGCCAGCAAAGGGCAGTAGGCGATGGGGTTGGAAGCACCTTGCGGCGGGCAAGGCGAGCGATGTGTGCCGTGGCGTTGACTGCTGGATGGGAGGTGGTATGGTAATGTGCGGTGAGAAAGTGGGAGGGGGTGTGATGGGAAAAAATGGGAGGAAATGGGAGATGTGGGGTGAGAGGATGGGAAGGGGTGATATGCGGTGAGAGGATGGGAAGGGGTGATATGCGGTGAGAGGATCGGAAGGGATGATGTGTGGTGAGGGGATGGTGACAGTTAATGGCTGCATTGATTGTCCACATGCTTAAGACAACTTAAGACAGGACGCAGGGAGGTAAGTTATACCTGAAACGTTGCATGGGGTGTTGGAAAATATCATTGCAATCTCAGGCTGCAGACAGTGGGGGGTAAAGGAGGGAGGGAGCAAGTGAAGTGAGTGAGAGAGAAATGCGCTGCAAAGAGTAGAGCCGCTGGTTGTCTGAAGACCGAGCGCAGAGAGGTAGCCACAGTGGCCGCTGGCTTTATACTCTGGTGCACAATGTGGTAGACACTCGAGCATGGGTGGCACGTGCTTTGAGTCAGACGGAGGCCGCACGAGAGGGCTACTGCGCAACACCACGGCTGGCACACCATGGGGCAGAGCAGAGCTGGCTATGGAATGCCATCCTAAAGGATTAACCGCAGTGTGGGGCAGAAGGTTTGCTCTGTATCAAGTCACCGGCCGCACTATGGAGCACGGGGCGCACTATGGGGCATGGAGCGCACTATGGGGCATGGAGCGCACTATGGGGCATGGAGTGCACAATGGGGCATGGAGCGCACAATGGAGCATGGAGCGCACTATGGGGCATGGAGTGCACAATGGGGCATGGAGCGCACCATGCGGCACGTGGTATCGGCGTAGGTGGTGATGGAGGAGGGTGCAACGATGCACATGCGCGCACAGTCCACGAACGCCCCTGCCACCTCCCTCTCCGTGAATGCTCGCCCACAGGTTGCTGGCAGGCAGACCACCAGCTTTGCACATGTCTGCACACACACACGCACACACACAAATGCACACATGCATGCATGCAAGCGCACACATACACACGCATGCATGAACGAGTTGGCATCACATGGCAATGAGAGCATGCATTAACTTAGCTCGGAATTACACAAGTAAAAGCTAAGTGCGTTCCACAGCCGTGGCAGTCACGCAGAGCAGCGGCATACTCACATCACGACAGACATCAGGTGCAGCACCAGCAGAGCCGCCACTGGGCTGCGCCTGATTGGCTGCATCCACGTCATCGTCGTGCTCGCAGTAGCCCCATGCGGCGAGCTCGAGGGTGGAGGCGGCACCAACGATGCTGATGCGCTGCGTGCCGGGAGGGGGCGCGTGCACGGTGCCGCGGATGCCCCCCGCGGGTGCGTTGAGCACCATCACCCAGTCGCCGTCCGGGATGTCCAACGCCACCGACACGTCTGCCGTACCGAGTGGAAACGGCTGGAACGTTTCGTACCTGCTTGCCATGCATGGGCGCCACACATGGGGTGGCGTGGGGTGGCGTGGGGTGGGATGGCATGGGAGGGGGAGGGAGGAGAGGGGATCGGATGTGATAGGATGGGATGGATGCAGTGGGATGGGATGCAATGGGATGGGATGGGATGCGGTGGGATGTGAAGGATGGTGAGGGTACACAGGACAGGAGAGAAAGAAGAGCAGAGAGGCGGGGGGGAGGGGGGACGTGCTGGCAATGGCTGGCATGTGACTAGAGGGCGAGCATACCAGCAGAGGGAGACCGGGTTGACCATGCAGAGGTTCCAGGAAGATTCGTCTGCAGCCTGCTGTGTGTCTAGCTGAGAGGAGAGGCGGATAACGATGGAGGTGAGGTTGGGGAAGATTCCGCAGTCCGCCTCGCAGCCAAAGCGGCCAAACGCGGGGTACTGGAAGGGGCGGTCGCACGAGCCGGTGCCACATGCTGGGTCTGTCCAGAGACTCTGCAGGGGTGGTGGGGAGAAGGGAGGGGTCATGAGGAGAGGAGTGGAGTGCACGGGCTAACGAGTGTGTGGGCTGACGAGTGTGCGGGCTTTAATCCAGAGGAGAGAGATGCGATGCTGCACTGCACGGGTGGACGGTGGGCAGGCTTTAGTACGTGCGGGGCAACACGCATCAAGTGCACAAGGAGCGATAACACAGTGACCAAGGGGAGAGGACGGGGGCGCACCTGCACGATGCTGGTGTTGAGCCAGCTGTAGAAGTCATCCGGGCCGTTGAAGGTGTTGGACGCATCCTGACGCATGCCCTGCTCTCGTGGTGGGGAGAGATGCACGCAGGGTGGAGGGTGAGAAGAGGCGAATGAGCGACGAGGCGGTGAGGGGTGCTAGGCAGTGGCGCAGCGGAAGTGTCACGCATGCGGGGTAGAGGTGTGTGGGCACAGATGAAAGCGGGGATCGTTGAGGCGCGTAGACTGCGGCGGGGGGGACGGACAGAGCATGGATGGGAGGAGGAGCCCTGGCACAATCTCCGAGGGGATACGAGGAGCGGAGGGAAGTGGAGATAAGCATACGGGGGGAAAGAGCACGGAGGGGATTAACGGGGGAGCATTTGGGAGGGAAGAGCATTGAGTGGTATACGGGGGGAGCATAGAATGAGTGTGTGCTAGAAAGAATGAATGTGCGCAGAGTTTATGCGCGTTATGAATGCAGCGGGAGTGGCAAGCATACAGGCGGGAAGAGGACAGAGGAGAGGAGGAGAGCGTAGGGGAGTGTGGAGGGTAGGGGGGAAGCATACGGCGTTGAAGGGCACGGAGTGGGGTTAAGTTGGGAGCATACGGTGGGGAAGAGGACGAAAGGGGAAGGAGGGGGGGGGGGTGGGGGGGGGGGGGGGAGGATACGGAGGGGAAGAGGACGGAGTGGGAAATGGGGGAGCATACAGGCGGGAAGAGCACGGCATGCGCGGCGGTGATTTGGTAGCTTCTGGAGGAGTCAGCCTGGAGGTAGAGGATGGTGATGAAGAGCGCCATGAGCACCACGAACCCGCCCAGGTCGCGGTAGTGCTGCACGCGCTGCTGCAGCCCCACCACGCGCGAAAATGCCTCTGCCACGCGCGCAAGGGGGGCGGAAGGGGGGGGAAGGGGGATGGGGAAGGGGGCGTTGAGGTGTTGAGGCGGGTGAGAGCAGCGGGGGGAACAGTGGGGATGGCGCAGAACGCCAGAGGCGGTGCGTTAGAGATAAAGCGGGGAAGAGGCATGGACGTGGGGCGTGTGTCGCCCCACAACCCTGCGGAGCACCGCTCTGAACCAGGCCGCACCTTGCAGCACCTCCCCGTCCATCTCGTCCATCTCCGCGTCCTGCAGAACGTCCCTCGTCGACTGTGACAAGCTCGCCCCCCCCGTGAGGCCCTTCAACGAGCCCGCCGCGCACATGCTCCGCGCCATGGTCTCCCCCGTCGCATCCTCCGTCAAGCTGCGCTTCAGCGGACCCCCCGCCGCGGTCGCCTTCCCCTCCCCGCCCTCTCCGCCGTCCGCGCCATCGGCGCTGCTCTCGTCGGCGCGCGTGTGGCTTGCGCGCCTGCTCCGCGGACGGCATTGCCGCAAGAAGCCGCGCAGCCCTCTGTCGTCGTCTGCCGCGCTCCCATGGCTGCTGCCGCTGCTGCTGTTGCCGCTGCTGTCCCGCGCTCCCTCGGACCCCAAACCCTCTCCGCCGGATCTCCCTTCCTCCGCCAACCTCTCCGCTCCGCCCTCCGCGCGGATCCCCCCGTAAACCTCCTTGCCGTCGTCACCTTGCCCCTCCCGGACTTCGTTGACGGAAACGAGCGGACTGGGAGACGAGCTTGACGCGAGTCGCGCCATGAGCTCCGCATTTTGCGGCGTGAACCTGCCCTGGCTATCGAGGAAATCTAGATTGTGCTGCTTGCGTCTACGAGACCCCGTGGACTTGCGGCTTCGAGACGACAAGGATGGCCGAGGGGAGTTGGGGATGGGCGGAACGGAAGGGAAAACTGTTTAGAAAGGCGGGAGTGCGCGTTTTTTGGAGAAGAAAAAGTAGCATTCAGAAGCGTGTTGACAAGCACTAACGTTCACGTGCAAGCAAGCGCGGAACGTGTTGGTCGGCTCACCTGGGTTGATTATCGGATTTGGATCGAACCCACATGCGGTAGTTGGCCGCCTCGTACGCCTCGAAATTGTCGTCCAGCAAACTCTTCGACCGCGAAAACGACGCCTCGCCAACATCCTCCTCCGCCACCTCCCTTCCCTCCGCCTGCTTCTTCGCGCGCAGCACCGCAACCGCCTCCGCCATCCCCGCTTCTAGTGAGAAACGAGAAGCAGGAAATAGTTCCTAATAACGAGCATGTATTACGGCTACGAGATGCGTGACGTACTTTCTTGCTAATGGTGTCCCTGTCTAGCGGTGGAGTATATGGTCGGGGAAACAAAATGGCTTGGAGAATGTGGAGGAAGAGTATATGCTGCACGCATTCCCTGCTGCCTGCACTTGTGTTGCTGCTCATCTCGTGTCCTGCTGTTTCTTTGACAGCAAAGCGTGGAAGGGAAGAAGACAACATTCCCCAAAAACAGATATTAAGAAACGCGGTTGGAGGAGATGCTTATATGCCTTTTCTCGGTTGGATCCGGCGTAAACTTCAAGCAGTTGGATGGAAGGGATGCGATGCGAGCCATCATGGTTCAGTTACGACTGAGAATGTATGCACTCCTGGTAGTGTAATAACATTCACCTAAAAAAAACAAAAACAAAATGATTCGGTGGTGGTGGTGTCTGAAAATGGAAATCCGACAAAATACTGTACAAACCAAACCAAAGGACCCTTGACACTGACTGCCCTGGGAGCGCGGATCTGCGCCCCAGTTTGGCACGTACTGCCACTTCGGCTGGAGTGAGGGGCATTTTCAGGCTCGGCATACAAGGGCAATTTCCCTGTTTTTGAATTAGATCGTAAGGTAGTTTTCTTACTATTTTCAAAAAATGTATGCATGTATGTTAGGCATTCCTTGATACCTTTCTGGGCGCTCGATTATCTGCTGGTGAGGCGTCAAAGAGTCCAAGAATGTCCATATATGGTCCTGTTTCGCATGCCTCACTTTGAGGCCCTCTCCTCCTCACTGTGTCATTCTGGGACGCTGCCACAACGGTGGATGGGGAGAGCCTTCTGGAGACAGGGGTGCGGAGAGTCACTCTACAACGGTAGCGAGCTAGACTACGGGGGTTGGCACGAACTACTAGGAGTGATCGTAGCTTTGCTTAGTTCCTTAGTGCTTGCACATTCACAGGAGAAATCGGCAAGAGTTTCCACTAGGCAAAGTCGAAATTACAGAATGGGTTAAACAAGCAACGACAACAATGACTACATCAAGCACCTAGCAACCCTGCAGCTAGCCTGGTTGGCCGACAGCACAGCATGGTCGACCGCATGCCAGCGATGCGTAGAGGAGCCGCGCCAACACTGCAGAAAGGCGACCTGCAAAACATTGCAGGTCGACGGCGTGCCAACGCTGCAGCAGAGCGGCTGTCCAGCGTTGCCCCGTAGAAGACAGCAGTGCGCGCGCCCACAGGTGCGCGTAGACAATTGGCCCGACTTGCATTGCTGTGCATCCGTCGGCTGTTGTCTGCGCTTGATGAGCCACATCGACTTCGGGATACCAGCCCGAAGTCGCCTTCGTCATTGCGACCTCGACGACGTTCGCGTGCCTCCGCAGAACTCGTCGAGCAGGTTACCCGGTCGACCTGGTCGACCACCAAGTGCTTTGGTCGACCCCCAGGTGCCTCTGGTCGACCACAACTCCCGTCGAGCTACCCCCTGGTCGACGGACCCTTTCCGTCGACCAGAACTGTCAGCGGTTGTCGCCGAGCTCCCCTCGTCGACCGCTGCTCACTTGTCAGGTCGACGGACTTCTCCGTCGACCTCCCGGTCGAACTGCAGGTCGACGAACTGCTCCATCGACCTCCCGGTCGAGCAGCAGGTCGACGGGCTGCTCCATCGACCTCGCGATCGAGCAGCAGGTCGACGGGCTGCTCCATCGACCTCCCGGTCGAGCTGCAGTTCGACGGGCTGCTCCGTCGACCTCCTGGTCGAACTGCCCCTCCTGGTCGACGGCCCACCCGTCGCCCATACCAGTCAGTTGCAGCTGTCGAGCTCCCTGATCGACAGCAACACCACAGTGGTCCCCTGCAGCTCGACGAAGCCTGTCGAGCAGCTCTCCCACTGTGAACGGTCGGCTGCTACTCCCGTACATCCGACCTAGTCGTCGGCGTTGCCCAAGCGAGGGCGAGGCCAACACTCCATTCCTGTTAACAAGGGGAGGGGCAGCAGCAGCAGTGGTGTTTAGAATGAACTTGTAGAGTGCGCAGTATAACGAATATTAAGAATGAGAATTACAGAATGGCGATACAATGAGAATGGCACGACTAACTAGGGGAAAAGCTAGCTAGGCGGGGAGGTTGAGAAATGATGGCTCGGTGATGTTGCGATTGGAGCAGGGGCCGACTCGGAAGTGGTTCGGCCGACGAAATAGGCTGAACAGGTTCGTCGTGTGACCCTCGGGATGTCCTCGCTAACAACTGACAGTAAGGAATTCTAATCCCTTACAAGTGGCGTATCCTTGTGAATGTTTTGTAAATCATATCAATAATGACTTGATTTTTTCAACATTTTTATTTATATCCCTTTTGGACTCCCAGACAGGTCATCTCGCAATGCAAGTGCAGGTACCTTGAATCCATAGGAGGAGAATAAAATATCGTGGCATCTTCTGGCAACCGGCTTTGAGCCAAAACGCATGCCGAAATATACATGCCGAAATATGTCATCCCAATCAGGGCTTTTTTTTTTTTTTGAGCAACTCTTGTGATCAGTGTTGCACAAGTTCAAAAACCTGATTATCAGTGTGACACCTTGTTCAAAATCTGATCCATCGGTGTTTTTCTTGTTTTTGAAAATCCAACCCTGTGGCATCAGTGTACCAATTTAGCAAACCCTGGTGAATTGATATTATCTTTGCACACAATAAAAATTTTAGTCATCATCATCATCATCATCATCATCATCATCATCATCATCATCATACATGCCGCATGGGTGTTGCTCGTCGTCAGTTTCTTCAGCAGGCGCTGGAACTTTCTCCTTCCCCTTCCGGTCCACAGGAGTCGCATGCGCAACAGATTTTGCCGGCCTTTTGGTTTTCTGCTTGCGCCACATGTCCAACACATCTGGCCAAACATATGGGTACTTGAGCATGTGCAGCGTCATGAGGTCGCCAAGGCGGGCATCGCACAGCGATGTGCGCATCCAGCTTTTGATTTTGTTCTGGTGACTGAATCCTCTCTCACACTCCACTATGCTCAGTGGCAGCATAGCGAGGGCCTGCCAGAGTGTCATCAGGTTCGGATAGCTGCTTCGCCAATCCCGGCTCTTCAACATGCTCGTAAGACCGTGGTGGAAATCTTCCCCCGCGTGATGATGTGACAAGATGTGACAGAAACTCCTCAGCTCCTTCTTCGCCGCCTTGAAATGAGGAACATGTAGCTGCAACATGTAACGGTGCGTGATGATGGTGATCGTGCGGTCAACTTCTTTGGTGACTTGTGTGATGTCCACCTGTACAACATCGGGCGACGCCGTTCTTGAGGAACGTGGCAAACACAATCAAGCGTTTGCCACGCGTGCGGTCGGTGCTCTCGTCGCAGGTAAGGCCGACGAAGGGTGAAGCGAGAAGATGCTGCAGTTGCTGAGTTTTCTGGTACTTTGCCATCGCCGCGGCCATCTCGTTGAAGCCGTACCTGCCACAAGACGCGGGGTAAGGTCAAAGCTTTGTCGGATCCATTGCTACACAATAGGACACATCGCAATAAAAAAAACAACTACGGTAGACTTACTGTGTAATGTAAACGCCGTAGGACTGAAACGGGATGTCGGCGACTCCTTCTTCCGCAAGGAAGCCTATGAGCTTCGAGAACATGGAGATCGGGACGTCGTGATCGTCGATGAATTCAACGCCGCGCATGAGACGAGTAAGCCGCGCGCCTTCCTTGTCGGTGTTGGCAAAATCGTCGAGGCGTTTCTGATTCTCGATCTCGGCCACGAGCGTCCGCTGCCTTTTCATTGCTGCGTCGTGGCGGCCACTCAGCTCGTGACATCTCATCGATCCGAGCTGCAAATCGCGACCCCCCGTTCCGTTGCGCCCGAATTTGGCGTCGTCCTTGCGGTGCTCCACGCATACACTACATCGCACGATGGGCAACCCATCCTCGCTCTTATCCAGCAGCAGCCAATCAAACGTCGGCAGCCACTGCGTGATGTATAGCTGCTGTGCCTTCTGGAATATTTCCTCTGCATGCTCAGGTGAGTTCACGAGACACACACGAGGGAGCTTGGACGGGAGCTGGAGGCTGAGTCGGCTTCGCAGGGGGCGTGCCGAACGGGAGTACGGCTTGCGCGTAGCGACGCCTCTTCTTCGAGGCAGCAGACAAAGACCCGCCGGCCTCTGTCACGCTGACAGAGGCGGGAGCACTGTCCGGCGCGACGGCATTGGAACCAGTAGGACGAGCAGGAGGCAGCTTTTCGCCGCTGCACGATGACGGGCCGGCAGTGCAGACAGGCGGAGGGTTCACATGCAGCCCTCGCAGGAAATCCAAGCCTGTTCGCGTGGCAGCGTCGTTAGGTGGCTCGTCAGCAGCTTCTCCTACATCGTCGTCCTAACTCTGCGCCATGGCTGCTGGTGTGTATCAAGAGAAACGGCTACCTCAGTTGGAAAGGGAGAGGTCTCTCGCTAACAAAGGTGAGACCACAACTGTGCTGGTGAACCAAGTCCCCAGCGCATAGGTTTCCTATCGTGCTGGCAAACTAAGTTAACAGCCACCCACAATCCAGCAAGGAACGCGGTGCCCAGTGGGCTAGTGGGCACCGACTTTCCGCTGCACTGAGCCAGGTTTCCTGCTAACCCGGTCGTGTTGTCATGTCAGAGAAGCAGACCGAGTTGAGTCAGTGGCGTTGTCTACAATGCTACTGTATTTCTGGCCAATGGTGGCCCACTTCGTGCCAGCACATGTATTGTCGAGGCTGAAATTCCGGTTTCGTCAGTTGGCAATCGGGAATCCCGGGTTACGGGAAAGGGGGGGTGGGGGAAGTGGGGGGGGGGGGGGGGGGGGGGGGGGGTATGGTTCTCGCTTCAGGGTAAAACTCGTTATGAAGAACGGTAACCTTGAGGCATCAGTGTGCCTTAAATGTAAACCCTGGCATATCAGGAAAATCCTTGCTCCACAAAAAAATACCCTAGGCCATCAGTGTGACTACCAAAAACCACCCTGATAATAAGGGTATCAGGGTGATTTACACTGATATAATTAGCCCTGATCCCAATTGGCGCAACTGGTGACACGGCGGTACCATGGTCCAGCCGTCTGGGATGCACATCCTGCCCCCCGAGGTGTTTCGCTGCTAGAACTGTATGTACATCAGTCTTGAAGTTCTAGCCAAGCCATGAGTGGGCCATTTCAAGCATTACAGAATTTCTCAGTGTTCTGGTGACTGTCACCGTTCTCTTTGATTTTCAATCAATGGCTGTTGCCATGTGTCCTCTCTGTTCACACCCCTCACACCGCTCACACCACCTTCACCCCCGTCCACTGCCTCGTCTTGGAACACAACCCGTCTCCCCGACTCTCGTCTCGACGACGGGGATCGGCTGCTACTCACTATCGCACTCAATCGGCCGGAACTGCTTTTCACTCCGCCATCCACTGCTCCGCCTTCACCCACACCCATCCCACCTGCCCCTGCTGCCCCCAGCCCCTCACCCTCCTCTTCCACTTGCCGCTCTTTCAGGCATGGCTGCACCAGCGGCCGCTGCCCCGCCAGGGGTGATATTGAGGGGGGAGTAAGGAGCCGAGCCTGAGCGCGCAAGGAGGGGAGGGCACGGTCGAGCAGGGCCATCATGGCACGCATGTCGCTCTGCAAGTCTGCTATCATGCCCCTCATCTCCTCCGCTCTCTCGTGCCCGCGTAGCACCTCCTCCTGCTCAGACACGCCCCCGCACAGCACACAGCACACGGGAGCGAGGGAAGGCATCAGACAAGGATGGTCAGTCACTGCCTCATAACAGCAGGTCAGCATAAGCAATGCCTCATAGCACTAGCATTCCCCCTTCCTCACTTGAATCCATACACATCCCTCCTCACCTATATCAATGCACATCCCCCCTCCCCTGTATCCACCCACATACCCCTCCTCTCCGCACAAACGCACCTGCACGTGGGCCAGGCTGAGTTTCTGAACGGGCTTCTTGACGGGCAGGGCGGCCTGCTTCACCACCTCGCCGCACTGCAGCACCACCGCCTGCGACAGCTGCTCCAGCTGCTCCTCCTCCGCAGCCCAGGGGCCAGCCCCCCACATGCCTCCACTCTCACACCAGGACGAAGAGAAGCAGGGTGCCGCCTTGGATGACACGGCAGGTGCGGATTGGCGGGGGCTTCTTTCCTGGAAAACAAGGAGGGAGGGGGAGGGGCGACGGGGGGAGAAGGAGGGAGGTAATGGAGAGGGGTGATGAGATTGCGGATTGGAAAGTCGAGCGTGGTTGAAAGTTGGGAAAAGTTGAGATGCAGAGTGATGAAGAGGGATTTATCGATCGAATGTGGATGGAAAGTACACAACGGCATTGGCACTACCCGCATCAGTTGTCCATACCAGTGACGTGGATGCCAGCAAGCATTTCAGCAAGCATCCTAACAAGCATGGCAGCAAGGGACGCACCTCCCTCTCCTGGCGGCGCTGCAGGATCATGGCGAGCGAGATGGCGTCGATGCGCTTCTCCCTCACTGTCAGCACGTGCTGCCGCCGCACCCGAGCGACGCTAGCGGGCGGAAACACGGGGTGGTTGCTTGACTGAGCAGAGCGCGATGCCTTGTGGACGCTGCCAAGCGTGTCAGAAATCGCAGAGCCTACCCGCCGTTGGATAGACTTGACGCGGCGCATCCGACAGCTCGCCTGAAATGCAAGTGCATGTGAGGAATGGCGTGCGTGGGCGGTGGTGGTGAGAGGTCTGTGCCAGTGGCCGACGTTACAGCATAGCCAAGGCATCAGCCTTTGGTGCGTCACAAGGGAGCAATCACTTCATATCTGAATGGTTCGTTCAAATACAACTCGGAAAACAACCAAAAACATTCAGTACACACATAAGCTGATGTAGCGCACTTATACTTCGTATCAAACTTGCATATGGTTATATTTGATACTAAGTATAAGTGTGTAACATAAGCTAAAACCTGCCACTAAGTGTAAGTGCGTTACATAAGCTTATGGTTTGAAAACAACCTGCCCAAAACGCCTAATGACGCACTCACCTCGTCTATGCGGGTGTCCTTGGCCCCCAACTCCACAAGGCGGTCGAGAATGACGCAGTAAGGCAGGTACCGGCCGCGCCAGCAGTTCCACTTGTACTTGAATATGTGGGCAATATCAGAGGTTATAGAGGTGGCGACGACATTGCTATCGTTGACGCTCATGAAGGCATCGACGATGATGGCGATGAGGAAGTTGAGGAGGATGAAGACCATGAAGACGATGAACATGAAGAAGAAGAGCATCGCTGCAATTAGGTCCCATGATTCCAGGCGCTGGAAGAAATAGGCCGAGCCATTGTCGTTGAGAAGCAGCAGGAAGCACGAGAACATTGAGTTGAGTACTGTGGAGAACTGAAAAGGATGGAGCGGGATGTCGGGAAGGGGGCAGTTTGCAGGGCAATGGATGGAGAAGACACACAACGTTGCACATAGGAGGGAAGGCACGGTGGATTTCAACACAACTTCACTTCGAAAAAGCGTAAAACTATGTTACATATAAGAGGTAGTATTGACGGGACAACACCCATGTGAAAGGTAAAATAACAAAAAAAAGTGGCAGTAACCGGTTTCGGCTTTCAAAATATTCATATGATAGCCCAGTAATAATGTCGGTTATAGGATAAAACCATTTTCACACATATATTCCAAAAACGGTTTGAGAAGCAAACACCCTTTAAGAGACACACACATAAAAACCGGTTGATGCCACGTGAAGTCATGTCACCCAATTGGTGTTCATTCGGACTTCAATTAAACTGCAAAAGCAGATGAGCTCCACACGTACCAGCTCCATTGCGCCTCCGAAGACGAGGTAGGCGTACATGCTGAAGCAGAAGAAGACCGTAAAGGAGAGCAGGAAGAAGTGCAGCAGGGAGGGCGTGGCGAGGGCGAGAGAGCGGGTGATGATCCCGAGGTAAGGCTGGAAGTCCATGACCTTGAGTAGGCGTATCATCATGAAGAAGAGACTGGGAGTGAGAGGGAAGAGGTGAAATGTGTTGAAAATGGAATGTCAACATATCGAACCAAACCCGTTAGACAAGCATCAAACCGATATGTGCTTATTCACTAACATGTTGCCTGTCCAAGTGTACAGCAGGTCATCGTGTTACCCATACGAAGGGATGCAATCGCCGGGGAAGTAGAGAAGATACATTTCCGAGTCGTGTGGTAGCTGTTAGTGTTAAGCCCTCAATCTCACATTTTTGTACTTGAACTTTTTATCATAGTTTAGTGTAGTTTGCACTTTGTGTTTGGTTGGGTGTACACCCACATCCCAACCAAACCCAAATGTTATCTCCAAGCAATCTCCAACCCACCAATTGGAGATTGCCTTGGGATTACCCCCAATTCCTAGAAATTGCCGCATATTCCCTCCCCATCCATACCTTGCTCATTTTGGATGTACTTAAAGAGCTTCAAGCTCATTACTAACGTATCCATTCTAAGCTCAAGTTCTAACAATAGCTGTGTGATCCTAACTTGTAGTAGAATCTAATCTTGTCAAGTACAGAAAATTACAAAGTTGACACACGCGGAAATTACTGTTGGAGTAGGTGTGTGGCTGTTCGATGAAGATTTAAGCATCAATTGTCGCGTACAGAAAGGCGTTTGTCACATCGATCTGTCTGCGGGAGGTGCTTCGCAACGGCAATTCCGAGCAAGATGCGGACTTATGTACTACGACTTACTGGCCCGAACGTGTGGTTGAAGTCTAGGTTGGGAAAAACGCGTTTCGCGTTTAGTACGCTTTCGTATAAACGCTAGCGTCTAAACGCAAAACGCTGGCCAGGAGGGGTCTGGTACGCACAAGAATCCGCTTGCCCGGCAGGAAAACAAAATCCCCCGGGCAGGTTAGATGCTAGGCCAAGAGATGGAAACGGGAGCTACTGTAGTAGTTCACTACCCGACTGCTGTTGTAGTAGGTTATCGTCGCAAGTCAAAATAAGAAGGGGAGGAAGAAATCGAATGCAGAGATTATCGAAGGGAAAAGCGGCCTGGCATTGAGTGGGGAGGATGAGTCTGGTAGAAGTTGGTAACACATTGATGGGGTTGGAGTTGGTTGCTGGGCGGTGGATAGGAGGGGATGATTCAAACAATTTCGAAGTTCAGATTGGAAGTTGCAATTGCAATGCACGAACTCATGTCTGAATTTTGAGACTCAAATTTGAGTTCGCCAGATCGCGAACTCAACTGTTTTTTTCTGTTTTTCGGTCAGCCCGAGCGAAATTTGGCGAATTTCTAAGAAATTCGTAGCGTATTAATTCTAGATGCGTATAAACTCAATACGCAACTTCAAACTTGCGTTTTTTTCAACTTAGGTTGAAGTAGATGCTGTGTCATTGAGTGTAGCCACGCACGACTCATCAGACTTTGAAGTGCTGAATGGTTTCGTAGGTGACTGTTTTCGCTTGAAGGACCCGTTTGCCAAATATCACCCGTCTCTCCTAACTGTTGCACCATCGACAAGCACCCACGTATCTCGTCATCAGTTCAAGCCGGTTCGGCCCCAATCAGATGAGTTTGGTCTGACTAGTGCGCCGGTTCAAGTCGGCCTGACCCGAGCTAGTTCGGATTCAACCTTTTGCGCGTTAATCTTAGTTGTACATCGATTGAAGACAACACAGTGGTTGTCATGGAGAGAGAAGGCCCCGCCCTCGCTTGGGCGAAGCCAACTTCGTTGTCCGGCTTGCAAGGTGTGTAGCCGACTAGCCTTCATGGTCGGCGCCGACTTGGAGGAGCAAGTTTGCTTGGTTGATTGACTTCGATGGTTAGTCGACTTCGAGTAAGTCGACCACAGCGGAGCCGACTTCGGTGTAGTCGACCATGGCGTAGGCCGACGAAGTGAAGTCTCCGATCGACGTATATGTTTGTCGACCATGACGCCGACTTGTCAGCGCCGACCTGTAGTCATCGGCGGCCTCCTCTAGTCGACCGAGTAACCTGGTCGACGAGGATCTGCCAGGGTGCGCGAACATCATCCAAGTGATTTTGGCGAAGTCGACCTACGTGTCAACATCATGTGGGAACGAGGTCGGCGTAGCACATCTGGCGCAACCGTCGGCACGTGACAGACTTGGCACCTGCGCAATGTGCGTGACGCTGCACGACGTTCTTCACTGTCTACCTGCACTTGCGAATTGGGTGCGCGCACATGCGCATATAGTCGCCTGCGGTTGCAAGGCTGGTAGGCCGCCTTGTTGCAACGTTGGCAAGCCGCGCTGGTGCGCTGCTGGCAGGTCTTCAACTTGCAACGTTGGCAAGCCGCCTTCGAGCTGTGTTGGCAAGCCGTCAACTTGCCGTGCTGGAAGGCCGTCCTCGTGCTGCGCTGGAGGTCGACCTGCTTGCTGCTATGCTTGCTAGGTCCTAAATGTAGTCACCATTGTCAATCTATTTTACATCACCGTTCTCCACTTTTGTAGTGAAATTCTTGCCAATTTGCTTTGTGAATGCGCAAATAGAGAAATACGAGCAAACGCTACGATCACTCGTACCACCCGTGCCTTCCCCCATAGTCCAGCTCCCGGTGTTGAGTGACTCTCCACAGTATCCCGTCATCGGTTCAAGCCCGTTCGGCCCCAACCAGATGGGTTTGGTCTGACTACCGGTTCAAGTCAGTTTGACCCAAGCTAGTTTGGATTCAACTTTTGCTCGTTAACGTTAGTTGTACATTGATTGAAGACGACCCAGTGGTTGCCATCGTGGTGGAAGGTGCTCACTTGATGCCTTGGAGGGCGAAGTAGATGGCGCGGAGGTTGATGATGTTGCGCAGATCAGCGATGGCCTGATTGGCGCTGATAAACCCTGTGGGCGGGTTGGGCACGGCCCAGTAGCGTGGCATCTCGAGCAGCGTGTAGTAGATGTCGTAGCGTGGCTGCATGTCAAATTCGTATACGTACCGCCACAGCACCACCCTGAGCACACCGACACATTCACACGCGCACATGTGGGGGACCGCCGGTGATTGAGGGAGGGAAGGTCGAATGAGGCCGAGAAAAAATAATAATATATATGATGACTTGCAAACGAAACTAAAAATCGTTCACCCCTCACCAGAGTGCTATGGCGATTGCTTGAAGCGTTAGGGAGAGCATGTCGACCCAGTTCCACACGAGGCCAAAGTAGCTGAGCCAAGAGCCATCCTTGGCAGCGCGGTCTGCCATCTCCTGTAGCTCGCCGCACACATTCCAGAGCAGCCCCACCAGATACACCATCTCCAGCACCAGCCGAGTGATGTTGTCCGCCGATGCATCGTACATTGCCATGGCTGCCGGCTGCGACTTGATCGTTACTGCCATGCTGCCGCCCGTTTTCACCATGCAAATTACTGTGGTCAGCACGAACGTAAGTGTTTCGCCTGGCAACGTGGGGTGAGAAGGAGGAAGGTACTGAGAGGCGTGCAAAAAGAGGCGTGAATGAAGAGGCATGCGACTGCACACTCGCTTACGAGAGACACGAACGCATGTGTTGACTGTGAAGATGAGACACGGATACATGTTCTTGAGGCACGTTATTACCACAATGTGACCTTGTCAAGGTGACTATGTCAAGGTAATTACCATTGAAGGTGATGAAGGTGACATCGACACTGCGCGTGCCATTGTCTATGTAGCTGCCATCCACCAGGTACTGTAGACGCTTTGTGGCCGCCTCGTTATCGAGATTAATGTCAAACACCAAAGGGTGGGTGGTGAGCGACTCCTGCTGGATAACGAGGCGGCCACAAAGGGTACTGTAGACGCCTTGTGGCCGCGTCCCAAAGACATCATTAGCTCATACCACAACCGCATGGCAAAAGACAGCAAGGTAGTACAGCAGCAATGCAGTTATACATGGAGCAGCACAGGCACACCGCATTTACAACACTCGGCACCAGAAGTGGGGTTCACCTTAAACACCAAGACACCAAGGCTCAGAGGCACCAAGACACGAAGGCACCAGGACATGTAGCACAGCACAAGGCATGAGTCACTTGCTCTGCTTGAGACGTGTGGGATACAGCTGAGTGCTTCACCAGAGCCATGGCAGTGCTCTGCATTCACTCACCAAAGGGTAGACGAAGCCGTACGGGAGGCCCTGCGGGTTGAAGCGCAGTTTGTCACCGAAGGTGTTGTTGTCGAGCTGGGTCATGTTGGCGCTGGCAGCGCTGTCGTAGATGGCCGACGTGGGCAGGAAGTGCGGGTTCACTCCAAACGGCTCCCTGGACGTGCCGTTGCTGCACCACCCCTCCAGGTGCAGCAGGCTGGGGAGAGAGGGGCGGGAGGAGGCAGAATTGGTGGGGCGGAAAGAGAGGGTGCAGGTGTAACGAAGAGAGGATGTGAAGAGCAAGTGGTGGCCGCACTCACAGCGGCGGCATGAGGCGAGCAATGTGAATGCCTTCCCACACCACACTCCATTCCCCACGCACCCCACCCATTGACCAGAGCCACTCACCCCGTTAACCAGAGCCACTCACCCCATTGACCAGAGCCACTCACCCCATTGACCAGAGCCACTCACCCAATTGACCAGAGCCACTCACCCCATCTACCAGAGCCACTCACCCCATTGAACCGAGCCACTCATCCCAACATCAAGCACCACTCACCCCGATCCGTTGCACTGCTGAGTGCCCAACCGGTCCTGCTGCAGCACCATGCCAATCAGCAGACTGCCACAGAGAAGATGGGAGGGGGGAGGTTGGAAGGGGAACATGGCAGAGGAGGCTCTAACGGGTAAACAGGAGGTCAGGGAATGCATGCGAGACGGTACGATACGGTGCACAGCGGTGCCCCTCTCAACGGTACAAGGGGGTTCTTTCCAACTGAGGGTATACGCGATCAGATTTAGTGTATGGTGGGCTCACGGGGTTGAAAGGGTAAGAAGAGCATGTAAAGGCACGGTGCTACATAAGTGTGGTGGGCAACAGGGAGGGCATGGAGACATGTGGGAGTACCGGTTACGGCTTGACACGAAGCGCTGGACCGGAAAACCCCTCTCAGCCGCAAAGGCGAAGTTGCTTTCGGTGTAGTTGGGGCCGTAGCGCTGCAGTGAGAAGGGGAAGTTGAGATTGGCTCCCACCGCCATGGATAGACAGCACGCTGGGGAAGGGGAGGGAGGAAGAGGGGGAAGAGAAGGAAGGGAGGAAGAGAGAGAGGAAAGGGAGGGGTATTAGGAGAAGAGAGCAGGGATGCGAGGGCAAGGAGTCACTGAAAGGACGTCCAAATCAAAGAGCAGTGAGAATGGAGGGAGAACGGAAAGGGGAGCAAGGCAAGGAGTGAAGGGTGACTGACAGCCATCGTCGCCGCGGGTGTGGCCGGGCGGGCAGGCGCAGATGCCGGGGCCGAAGAGCGGGTCGACACACGCGCAGTCGCCGCCGTCAAAGGCGCACGAGGGCGTGTTGCACGCTGCATCGCACACCCCGTTTGCAAGCTGCCGCAGCAGACAGCCCGGCGCACACTCATACGCTGTTGTGGTGTTGGTGTTGGTGCGGCCAGTGGCCGTGCTGTTGGCAGCGGTGGTGTTTGTGGTGTTGGTGACAGCCGTGGTGGTATTGAGAGAACCTGAATTTTTTCGTGCATAGGAACGCCAGGGGAACGGACAGGAGACATTTGTGAAGAAAAGAGGGGGACAATTCGTGAAGGAAGAGAGAGGACGGGGAGAACAAAGGCAGGTAGGGGTACTGGAATGCAGCAGCCGGGAACGTTTGGGAAGAGAACGCACAGAGGGCGAATGGATGCAAGTGAAAGAAAGCGCACATGGGATAGCTGAAAGGCATGGCACACATGCAGTGCTCACCAGCAGCAGCATCCACCCCATTGCTCGCAGGGAGCACTGTGAGAATGCTAGTCGCAATGGAGGCGGGGGAGGAGGAGGATGAGAGGGCGTCCGCAGCCGCGGCTGGCAGAGTGCCATCGTGGTAGTTGATGCTGATTGGCTGCCCAAACACCTTGCTGTACGCAAATGTGCCCGCAGGATCGTCATCCATTCCTGGTGCGGGAAGAGGGTGGTAGGCGGGGGAGAGGTGGTTGTAGAGCATATTGGGTGGGAGGAGTGATGGAGTACAAGGGTGATCCATCATCAGCAGCAGCAGCAGCAGCAGCAGCAGCAGCAGCAGCAGCAAATGGTTTTGGGTTGAACAAAGTAGGGTACCACGAAAAATACTAAGCTTGGAGAAACCAATCGCCAAATTAGCAATCATCACACACTTTGCCGCTCACTTGTTAGAGATAGAGGATGGTGGCACCTGTGAGGGGTCGTTGCTAAAATATACTTATACTTGCATGCTCAAGTTTAGGGTGTAGTGTGGGTAAACACCCTATTTGGGGTGAACCCTGGATGCTGATTTGGCGATTGCTTTCTCCAAGCGGCAAAGGGTTTTGCTTGTAAAACCTTGTGCTCTCATGAGAAAATGCTGATGATTCTCTTACTCAACTTCCTAGAGTTAATAGTTTCTTTCAGTAGTACCCTTTTTATATCCTGCTTTCACAATAGAAGAACTTTTTATGGATTGGAAGTAGCACCAACCTCATCGAAACGTGATCACCTACAGTTTCCAGCCTAATAACAGAAGAATTCAATCAATGCCATCGCACAACCAGACTTCAAACTTGTTCGGGTTCGGTTTGGTTCGGTTCAAACCGGGGCAGATCCCATGATGAGTTTGATCTCTGCTCACGACTATCATGCAATACTTGGCAGTCTTGCACGCATAGGTAAAGTTTTGAACCATTGTCTCAACTCGAGTACGTGCTTCCCCCAGTTAGAAGAAAATGTTGTCATGAGCAAGAAAATGCGGACCCTAGGATATGAACTGGTGACTTTGAATGTGTCATGAAAGTTTTTTTGGGGACAGATTTGAGACAGTTTTGGCAGGAACACAGTATATGGCGCATGTGAGATTCGAACTAGAGACTTTCTGATCCATCTATTCCAAGAGGAGTATTTCAAGACGATTTCAACAAGTTTGGTCAACGGCCATTATCGAAATGAAGAATCTGTATCGAAGTCAATGAGATTCGCGATGCGGAAATTCTCGTCTACCGGATTATAATAGCTGAATCTTAATCTTTGAAATTCAAGGCTTAAAATTTTGCGTCGACAAGATTCAAGCTCGGAAAACTACCTGAGTCGCGTGGGTTGACTCTTCCTTTTGTGCTCTTGATTTGGCTATGTTCTAATAGGACATAAAACCAGAGAGCACAAACTAGAAAAGCATCTAGCTCACTACCAGTAATATGTTAATGTGTATCTTTGGCTATAGTTTATCGTTTTCTGCAATCTTTGCTTCCGAAGTTTTTCGAGCTCCTACTGTAGTGGAATTCTACACCCTCTCCACACACCCGTACTCACTTAGCACGCAGGGCACGGGGTCGTCACTCATGTCGCCGGCGCCCACGTTCATGGGAGTGCACACCATCTGACGTGACACGGCCAGGCGGTTCCCCCCGAAGCCCACGAACAGCGGGTCGGCCACCTCGCCCATCCCCGCCACTGGTGGTGGTTGAGTGGACGCACAGGGGTGGTGGACGCACAGGGGGTGGTAGACGCAAAGGGGTGGTGGAGGCACAGGGGTGGTAGGCGTGAGGTACTGCAGCGCAACGGATGGAAAATGGTGCCATGGGCACAGAGAATCGTTGCAAAGGTCCATCATGGAGCAATACAAGCACGGATGCACGAAAGAGGTAGTGGCTTAATGAAAATGGTAAGGCTTCGACGACATGGGTGCAGGGTGCAAAATTTCGCCGAATTTTTCAAAATTTGGGCGAAAAAATCGCCATCGAAAATTTCCCCCAAAATTTTCGATAATTTCGGTCAGAAACAAAATATATTAATCTGGTGCAAAAATTTGTCCGAAATTTTACATAAAATAGTTAAGAAAATCGAGTAAAAATGGGAAAAAACGATGGATGCAAATCTTACTGGCATTTTGCTGCCAGATTTAGGCAGATCTGCCATTTCGCCACTAGATCTAGGCGGATCTGACATTTCGCCGCCAGATCTAGGTGGATCTGCCATTTAGGCACCAGATCTCTGCATATATCTGGCATTTCGCCACCAGGAAATTTTGGACATTTTTTTTAAGGTCTAACAAAATTTTGGCGAAATTTTCAGATTCTGCCCGAAAATTTCCACCAAATTTTTCCAAGCGAAAATTTTCCTGACCGCAAATTTCCACCCTGCATGGGTGTACCTCTGAGGGAATGCGGGAGGTCATCATCCCACACCCACGTGACCTTGTCGCCCACATGGATGGTCGTGTTGTGCGTCACGCCTGCACGCCATGGCAACCACGCACCGCCTGAAGGGAGACAGAAAGGGGAGAAGTATTGTTGTCAGTCAGTTTTTCGTTTGAGCTGCTATGAGTGAGAGACATTCATGCACATGCAAATGCACTCGCACATGCAGATGCACAGTGACATAAACACATGCACATGCACATTATCAGAACCACCAACCATGAGCACCTTGTGAGCAGCCGACAGCATCGGAGGTGACGACTGCATCGTCAAAGGAGTGCATGAGCGAGTTGAGGCGCGCAGCGGCCTCGTCTGCCATGGGTGTGACGGACCTCAGAGCCGCCACCATGGTCTGCACGAAGCGCCGCATGTGCTGCGCTGAGATCATGCGCCCGCCGCTCACATGTGTGCGCCGCAGGTATGCATACATGTCCGCCACTGCCACCACCTGCTGCCCTGCTGCATCTGTGAGCCGGCATTCATCCATTGTCGTGGCAGGCCCCCCCAGCATCGTGCACAGGCACGCCACCAAGCGCCACCTCACGCTGCCCGGCCCACCCAGCGCATGCTGACTCGCCCCCGCCACTCGCCTTGCCTCTGCCCCTGGCGCTCGCTCAGCCAGGCAGCGGTCCTTGATCATGGTGAAGAGCGCACGTGACACCGCCACCTGCAGCGCTGTCAGCCGCTGGCGGTCCGTGGCGCCTAGGAGCGACCAGAGGGAGGGCTCTGTGGGGTCTGCTGCGGCTGCCATTCCCTCCGCAGCCATGGCTGCTGTTCCTTCCGCTGCCATGGCTGCTGCTGGTGGCGGTGGTCGTGCGAGCTGGGCCGCAGTAGCAGCATCGGCAGAGGCAGCAGCAGCCAGCGAGGCGAGTGCAGGAGGGGCAGCATCAGTGAAAGCCGAAGAGGTCCAGTACCTGTAGGGCCGATGCTCATGCAGGCGGTGTTTTGCCTGAGTCTGCGCAAGGATGGTGATGGGTGGCAAGCATGGGTGCGCAGGCAGAGAGAGAGAGAGAGGCTATCTATGATTGAAGCTGTATTCCATGATGGATGAAAACGGCAAGGAGAGCAACAGGCGAAGAAATGCGCACCGGCAGACAGAGCATGGCAAGGAAGGAGTAGCAAGAGTGCAAACACAGACAATGGGCAACGAACAACGTGAAGAGAGCAAGAGGCAAAGGGGAGAAAAAGCCAACAAGAGTGGCACCCAAAAGGAGAGCAGCGAGCGATGAGGTAGGCAGCAGCACCTTGCGGCGGGAGAGGCGAGAGATGTGCCCCGTGGAGTTGACTGCTGGTTGGGAGGGGTGATGTGCGGTGAGAAGGATGGGAGGGGGTGATGTGGGGTCAGAAGATGGGAGAGGGTGATGTGGGGTGAGAGGATGGGAGGAGGTGATGTGGGTTGAGAGGATGGGAGGGGGTGATGTGGGGTGAGAGGATGGGAGGGGGTGATGTGGGGTGAGAGGATGGGAGGGGGTGATGTGGGGTGGGAGGATGGGAGAGGGTGATGTGGGGTGAGAGGATGGTGAGAGATAAATGATCAGTAAAAAAATGCGCATCAAAACGTGCACGGGTTGAATGCTTCGATTGCACACATGCTACATGGGACGATACTCAAGAGCTAAGACAGGGAAAAGCTACGACAAGATGCAGGGAGGGCGGCGATACCTGAAACGTTGCAGGGGGTGTTGGAGAAGAGAGTTGCGATCTCAGGCTGCAGGCCATGGGGGGTGGAGGAAGGAGGGAGGGTGTTGGAGAAGAGAGTTGCGATCTCAGGCTGCAGGCCATGGGGGGTGGAGGAAGGAGGGAGTGAGTGAGGAAGAGAAGTGCGCTGGAAACAGAGAGGCCGCTGGCAGTCAGAAGCCCGAAATGGATGAAGGGGCCAACATGGGGTAAGGCAAGGGGCGCACCGTGGGGCAAGGGGCGCACCATGGGGCACGTGGCATTGGTGTAGAGGGTGATGGAGGAGGGTGCAACGATGCACATGCGCGCACAGTCCACGAACGCCCCTGCCACCTCCCTCTCCGTGAATGCTCGTCCACAGGTTGCTGGCAGGCAGACCACCAGCTTTGCACACGTCTGCATGCACGAACGCATGAATGCACACACACATGCATGCACACATGCATATGCACATGCACGCACACATGCATGCACACATGCACGCACACATGCATGCACACATGCACGCACACATGCATGCACACATGCACGCACACATGCATGCACACATGCACGCAAACATGTATGCACACATGCACGCACACATGCATGCACACATGCACGCACACATGCATGCACGCACGCACGCACGCACATGGACACACGAATGCAAGCATGAATGCATGTATGCAGTCAATTGGATTGGCATCACATGCAATAGAAAGTAAGCAAGCACTTCACTCAGATGAGCTTGAATGCGATAAAATCTCAGCATGTTCCACACCGGTTGCAAACAAAGCAGCGGCATACTCACATCACGACAGATGTCAGGCGAAGAAGCAGCACCAGCAGCACCGCCACTTGGCTGTGCCTGATTGGCTGCATCCACGGCATCGTCGTCCTCACAGTAGCCCCATGCGGCGAGCTCGAGGGTGGAGGCGGCGCCGACGGCGGAGAGGTGGCGCGTGTCGGGAGGGGGCGCGTGCACGGTGCCGCGGATGCCCCCTGCGGGCGCGTTGAGCACCACCACCCAGTCGCCGTCCGGAATGTCCAACGCCACCGACACCTCCGCATCGCCCAAAGGGAACGTCTGGTATGATTCGTACCTGATTGGGAGGTGTGGGCGCCATGCGTGGGGTGGAGTGGGATGGGATGGGATGGGATGGGATGGGATGGGATGGGATGGGATGGGATGGGATGGCATGGCATGGCATGGCATGGCATGGCATGGCATGGCCTGGCATGGCATGGCATGGCATGGCATGGCCTGGCATGGCCTGGCATGGCCTGGAAGGGAAGTATACAGATGATGGGACGGCAAGACAAGCAACAAAATGGAATGATAGCGTTTTGCATGGAGATCTGGAGTGCCAGTTTTTCTGTCATTGATACATACTCCATCGTCCGACAGGTGCACCTGGTTATTTGTCTACTGAAATAGAGTAGACGAAGACGTAAGAAAGTATCCCCAACTACATAGTATTATACAAAGACTGGTCTTGAATCGACCCTTCTCAACACACAGTTTTCAGCAAATCCTGAAGTGGCCCAACTAGTTAGCTATGTCACTTCCGAAAGATGAGGTCCTGGGATCAATCCCCTGTGCTGGCGAGTTCTGCCAGCCTCCCAGAAGGGAGTTCACACGTACGCATCTGGGAGTGGATATTCCTACCTCGATACCGAGCGAGGCGTGTAAACAATTGGGTAGGCGGGTTACGACTGACAGCCGGGGTTAAACCGAAGTAGTTCTCCCCTACAACTTAAAGTTTAACACAGTTTACGACAGCCGACCCGTTTTTGCCATAGGTTGGATGAAGAACCAGCAGAACTACTCGAACCAAACATCCGAAACCCAAAACTACCCGCGTAAAAAAAACAGGCATTCTTTGTGATGGCAGGAGGGAGAACATACCAGCAGAGGGAGACCGGGTTGACCATGCAGAGGTTCCAGGAAGATTCGTCTGCAGCCTGTTGGGTGTCGAGGTGCGAGGAGAGTCTGACAACGATGGAAGTGAGGTTGGGGAACGTGCCGCAGTCCGCCTCACAGCCAAAGCGGCCAAACGCGGGGAACTGGAAGGGGCGGTGGCACGAGCCGTCGCCACATCTGAGATCCGCCCACAGAGTCTGCAAAGGGCGTTGTGGGAGTGGAAGGGCGAGTGAGGATCGTACGGACCAATGAGTGTGCGATCACTGAGCTTTCACGCAGACAAGGGAGAGAGCTGTGATGCCGCGTGGGTGGGAGGAAGGTAGGCGTGGGTATGTGGGAAGAAACACGCACCAAGTGCTCAAGGAGCGATGAGGCAGGGATGAAGCTAGAGGGCAGGGGGCGCACCTGCACGATGCTGGTGTTGAGCCAATTGTAAAAGTCATCCGGGCTATCGAAGGTGTTGGACGAGTCCTGACTCATGCCCTGCTCTCGGAAGGGGAGAGACACAAGCAGGGCGGAGGGTGCGCGGAGGGCGCGGTGACAGTGATGACACGCACGAACATGCACGCGCGCACGAACATGCATGCCCGCATGAACATGCATGCGCGCACGAACATGCATGCGCGCACGAACATGCATGCCCGCACGAACATGCATGCGCGCACGAACAT